TTATAATTAAAATAGATTTGTATTACAAAGTAACTAATATTTATCACAAACAATTAGCATGACAAGTAATAAAAATTGACGTTCACTTACCTTAATTAGCAAGGATATTCCCTTAATTATAATTTTACATCAACTTCTTTAGACGGCTATAACTCGAGTTTAACTTATCCAATTTAACTTCTTCTCGAGTCCATAATTCGTAATTTATTACGAGCTTCAAAATGAGTCCAATATTGATATGGTAATACTTGCTCCTCCAATAGTTAACTATTTGGCCCATTTAATAAAAGTATAAATTTTTATATTTATTTTCACTTTGGTCCCTCAACTATGAAGATATTCATTTACATCCAAATTAACTATAGAGATAACAAATTAATTTGCATAAGGACTTATTTGAACATTGCATTTCTATTAAATGGCAATTATATGCAAACCAAAAATTTGGGATTCTACAAAATAGGTTCCATAAATGGACATTGTAGTGCCTTTAAGTGTGTTAAACAGCGGACTGAAGTGGGGATTTGCAGTAATCTTTTTCGGTATGGGCTTGAAGCATAGTTTTATGGTGAACTTCTGTCGGAATGGTGTTTCTTTGACATATGCAGTACAAAGTTGGAGGGTCTTTTTCCTCTATTGGTTTGTCATTTATAAGGTTTTGAGGATTAGTAAAGCTGTTCTGATGTAGTCACTCGTTACTGATTCATTACATCTTCAATTTCTTTCTGAGAAATAGATTCTTTTTATGAAAAACAACTGCTGCATGGACTAGTTACCTCATTAAGAGACTGAAAGGTAAATAGGCCAATTTGAAGGAAAAGATTTTCCATGTCTAGATCAATATTTAAATGAGAGTTCTAGAAAGTCTCATGTAATGCTTTAGGCTCTAGAATAAGTTCAATCTTAGGCAAGGGAATGTTTCACAAAGAGTTACCACTGCTTATGGGCTCCAGAAAAGTTCAACTTTACACTCTTGAATTTAATTTCGTTAATGAACTCATTGCCAACTCCGTTTTAATTGCAGATATAAACCCAGTGAGGAAACTTTGCTACAGATTGATCGATTTTGTGTAAGCATAATTGCTGAGTGCGATGCGAGCATTAACCGTAAAGTGGCTCCGTGGACACGTTCTTTGAGTCAACAATCTGGGATGCCAACACCCTCTACAAGTGTATCTCCTTTTCCCGTGTCAAGTTTTGCATCTGGAGCACTTGTGAAATCCTTAAATTATGTTCGTTCTCTAGTGGCTCAGTACATACCAAAGCGGTCATTTCAATCAGCAGTTTTTGCTGGAGCCCCTCCTGCATCAAGGCAATCACTTCCAACATTGTCTTCTATATTAAGCAGATCATTCAATTCACAATTTAGCCCTGTAAATAGCAAGGATGCTCTGGAGAGCAAAGAGACATCTATTACATCTGTTTCAGACTCTCCAGTTGCTGAAGAAGATGATGAAAAGGAAGATCATGAGTTCATAGCTCTTGATGTTTTCAGATGGCGCTGGTTTGGAGACCAGAAATTGTCAACTATCTTGCCTAAAAGGTATTATTTTCGTCTGTTAGACATCTTCTGTTATTCACCCAATTGCGTTAATTGATTCAGTGTGTCCATTCTTTCTAAAATACTCACTTACAGCGAGCACATTCTGAATCCCCAAGATCTACGCACTCATAATTTCCTAGAAGTAGGTGCAGCAGCTCTTCTTGTAGGGGATATGGACCCCAAAATGAAGGGTGAAGCTTGTAAACTTTTTGGGAGTGCAGATATGCCTTATCTTGATCAGCTACTGCAGCCATCATTGCTCACAACCGTTACCAAATCTGCGTCCGCTCGTGCTCATTTAAGAGCAATAACAGCACTGAAACGGTCTAAACCAGGGCCCAATCAAATTTGGTACATCCCTCTTGCTTAATTATTTTTACACAAGTTTGTAGTTTGCCTGTCTCTGTTAGTTTTATTATGTCTTATTTCTATGGTTATATTTTCTCTATTGTTATCAAAGTGTCATAATAATTTTGTCAAAAAAGCAAAATATGAACGACTTACTCCATATGACTTTCAACTACAAAGAAAATACTTCTACTCTGTTGAATGCGTGTCATGCTTATTAGGATTGAGCCTGTCGAATCTCATGTCAATCAATTACTTTTGGTGTGCACTAGATTTTGAGCTTTTGTTACGTTACCTAAAAATCTGTATTTTTTAGCTGGATCAAGATATTGGGAAATGTCAGGTGCTTGTTGGTTTGACTCCAATGTGTTTATATGTTTGTATGGTAATGAAATGGAATCAAGTGTGATATATTGCTGTAAATTGAATGGTATAATGTTCAATGTAAACTATGAAATTGTTATCCTCAAACGAAAAGCAGTTACAGGCAAATGGCCAGCTTCTGAGGATCCTTCAATTTCACCCTAGTTTCTGCCCGAATGAAAATAGAACTCCTTCCTATTTATGATGAGTTCATACCACACTTATTTGGCAGTCTACCCAGAATTCCCTAACCCCTTAACAACCTAATTATTAAACCATGACAAGAACTTGTGGGTGCCTAACACATGCTTGGTATACTGTGCTAGACAGGCCTGCACACTAAAATGAACAAAAATTTAGTTTTCTTTTGTTCCTTAATTCTGTGCCATCCTTCTCAAAACAATCCATCAGTAATCGTTTTTTTTTTTTTTTGGGTTGGGTCAACTACAGAATCTAACGGAGATTTGGTGGAAAAACGAAACATAGCTGTAACCTCATTCAATCTTATTTATTAACTTACGAAAACATTGTTCTGAGATTCACCAACATTGCAGATTGAAAATAATGTAATTGGGGTACAAATAATGTTTAAAATTCAAGAGTCGTTTGAGATTTTCCTGGACTGAAATCAATTTATTGCTTTTGGCGTTGTATTCAAGGTTAGGGCGGGGTAAAACCCAACCCAAACCGCTCAACCCGATCAAATGGGTTGGGTTGAAAAATTATACTTGAAGTTGTATTTCGGGTTATAATTTAAAACCCAAGCCGATGAATTAAGAAAATTAATATCTAAGATGAAAAAAAACTAAATAACACAATAGTAAAGATATGAGATTTATAAATGTCCATTTTCTTTGCATAGATTGATTCACATGAATACTATGTGATGAAATGAATAAATCCCAAAAAATTGTAAAAAAAGAAGAAAAGAAAAGAAAAGAAAAGAAAAAATACTTCATTTGCAAGAAAAAAAATAATCTTGAACAACACAACACAGTTGATGACTTACCTATAGTATTGTCATCTCAGTCAAACATTTTATCTACTCTGGAGTTTTTACCTCATTTGCATGATACTCTACAGGTTGCCACATTGTCTTTCATGGCCATTATTCGATTGCATGCTTTTCCCATAGACATTAGGATGTTGCCTACTAATTATCGACATATTGGTTTAGCTCATCCTTTTTTTGTCAATGTTCCTAAATTTTATACTAAGATAAAAAGGTACATCATTTTTAATAATGAAATTTTTGAATTTACTTTTGATATGCAATGTAGACTAGGAGACCCTAATGATTATTATTCTTTATTACATGTCTCATTGTCTCAATTTCCTAAATACGTTCAAATAAGAGTTTTGGAACATCCATATAGAGATTTTCTATTCGATCGGCCATCACACTTAAATAAGAGTTATATTTTCAATATAGAAGAATTGTTTCCTTGTTGGGGCTCATTTGAGCCTTCGATGTTGCATACATTTTTTTCTACAGGCCAGTGTGCAGTGGTAGTTTCTTGTGCTTCTCAATATGTACAACCAATTGATGATTTTGAGAATGAGTTGCATGAGTTTTTGCTTTTTGGAATTCCATGTCGATACTTGGTTAAAATAAGAGATTGTCCCCCTTGGTTAGATTATTCTTGGGGATGAATTGCAATTTCAATTGTCACATGATCGGTTTCGTTCTTTGATTCATAAGAAGGATCGCCATCCTTGGTTTGAGTTTACTCGATTAACGTTGTCCAAGATTCAATACAGGAATTTGGTCAAGACAAAAAGATAAGTCTCGTTGGAGTATGAAGTTCGAGTCTACCTCGCCGGAGTCGAGTTCTCTCAATCGGAGAGAAATGACGCAATACTATAGAGATAAATTATTTATTTAGTTTCCTATTTTAATTCATATTTCAGAGTGTGATTTAATTCACTTTTGTGAAATTTCTTTACTTATTTATGATTTTTGAAACCCTATATAGAGGGGATTATAGCGATGTAATAAAACTTTATTATATGAATTAAATTGATTTCTCTCCCCAACTTCCATCTTCTCTTCCCCTCTTCTTCTCTCTTTTACACCTTGTCCTATAATTCTTCCTCTTTATTACTACGTCAATAACCAAATTGGAAGGTTTAAAAAAAAATAAAAAAATAATAATAATAATTCTGAAGAGCTGCCAGAATCTAGTGTAATTAAGGGAGCTATTGAGGTGAAATTTTAGTTGTTGATGAATAGTGTAGGCATGCAAATATAGATCTCTATTATTCAAATTAAGACCCGCTGATTTGGTTTTGGTGCTCTCATCAACATCCAATACTTTCTGCTTTTGCACAAACAGAAAAGAAAAATAAAATTTTTTGGTGTTCTGTTCCATCCTGCAGGCTTCTGTTTTTGGCAATTTTTATTTTTATGTTCTATTATCAACAACATAATTATCAAGTTTTCCAATTGCTGAGACTGTATATTCATCTATCTGATGGAACTAAAGTTGAATACTGTAAGATCTTGTTCAACCATATGTCAAGTTTGTGCAACATAATATTATACTTGAATTTTGTCAGACTTCAATATTGATCTGTGGTCATCCTTTCTTGTTTCACAGGGAAGATTCTCCTTTGAGCAACTTTCGTCCCCGCGTGAAACCACTGTTCCAATATCGTCATTATAGGTAAAGAATTACGGTTTTTTTTTATTATTTTTGTTTTTTAAAAAGAGCCTGCTGTCATCAATTGTTTGTGAATGTCTCTACGATGCAACAGCAATAACAATGAGAATATGTGGTTTTTCCCAATACTTGGGGTCAACTTCATGAATCTTTTTCGGTTGGTCCATTTGATCCAAAGTTACCTTTTTTGACTTACGTCAAATGATGAATTCCTTTTGTAAATGTATCTAACAGAGTTTTATTGCTCTTGTGAATGCAATTTTTTTTTTCCTGAGCAAGATATGCCACAATCATCTACATTATTTCTTAATATATCCTCAGTTATCTTCTTTTATGCATTCTAGTGTCACGGCGGATCCTTCTTAAGATCATCACTTTTGTAATGTTCATCTTAAGAACATTTGGTAGCCCAACACTTGCTACAATTGAAGGTAGTTAACCTAATAGCTGTACAACCTGAAGTGCATAACTTCTATTTTCACCCTTTTCAGTTTTCTTAAAATTATCCTATGCATTTCATTCTATTCAAATCTTCGTTCTTTATTTATAATCAAGCATAAGCATCTAAAACAATCATCTTCTGTGACACCGTGATCCTTTTCTTAAGTTTCCTATTCATCCTTATTAATAGTGTAACAAAAGGACATTACATATATTCTGACATAATTTTACTTAACCCAAAACCCACCATGATTCCGTCAATCAAATTTATTGACAAGTATCAGTGATGAGTATGTTTTGATATTACTTCTAGTGGTAACTATGTTTCATCTATATAACAAATTTACATTAATTTAGATACTGTTCCTATATATTGTGATTTATAACCACTGCAAACTATTTTCATTTTATAGTCAGCAATTAGAATTTAAAAGAACCGAAGTATGAAAAAACATATCTGTAGACACTTGCAACTTTTTTTCTTAAGATAATGCTTAGGTCTATTGGTGTACTGCATGCATATGCGTATACATGCACTCTGTGGACTTTTTATGTATCTGTGGATGTGTTGGTTTTAATTGCTTTCTATCTAACTTTGCATACATCAGTGAGCAACAACCCTTGCGATTGAATGCTGAGGAGATATGTGAGGTTATCGCAGCAGTGTGCACAGAAACTCCTTCGACAAATTCTAATCTCACAACAATCTCGTCTAAGTTAAGCAACAATGGAAGGCCATCTCTTGACGTGGCTGTGAGCGTTCTTGTCAAACTTATAATTGACATGTATGTTCTGATGCATTTTGTTTATACTATAAGACTTCATTGAACTTTGTCTTTCTCCATTTATCAATGAGTAGTGACACTTCATGGTATATATTTATGGAAAGGAGACACTATCATTATCCAGTACAGAAGTTAGATCCTTTCTGTACCCTTTCTGGGTGTCTCGTTCAAATTGCGTTCGATGTTGTCGTCAACAGGACGTATCTGATCTTCAATAACTTTCTTGGTTTAAAGTCTCTATTTGTTCATTGCCACATAATATGATTCAAATTCTCCATGCTCGCGTATAATAAGTCAAATTTTGACTTCTGCTAAGTAAAGGAAAATAAATTTATGCTCTTCATCTATTATGCTATTTCTTGACTGCAGACAATTCTAACACCCCCCCCCCCCCCCCCCCCCCCCTCCTTTTTTTTCCCCCTTCTTTTTTTTATGAGGTATATATACAATTTTATGTTGATTCTTAATCTGCCATCCTTTCCTATGAGGAAGTATGTTACGTATCTTGTTTTCCCGCTGATCTTTTCTAATTCCTTTTTGTAGGTACGTTTTGGATTCTGTGACTGCTGCTCCTCTAACTTTATCGATACTCGAGGTGCTGCATACTTTGCACTTGTTTTTTGCAACTCGTAGTTATAGCTACTTATTTTGCACACAAATTATTGTAGGATATGCTAAATTCTCCAAAAGTGATGTCAAGGGCTCAAGCTTTTGATTTAATTTTGAACCTCGGAGTTCACGCACATTTATTGGAGCCTCCAGCACCTGATGACACCTCTGGAATTGAAGAAGAGTATTTGCACGAACCATATTTCGAAAATGAAACTCAACTTTCTTCGCAAGGAAAGAGAATATTAGACAATTTTAAGAAAATGGGGAATTCTTCAGCTATTGATAAGTTTGAGAATTGGATTCTGGGCATTCTCTATGAGGTTCTTCTTCATCTTGTTCAGGTATATGTGATATTTATTTATGGCATGGCAGAATTTTACAGTAATTTGGCATCCTTTTTTTTTTTTAATAACCCTTTGGTGATGGGGAAGGGGCTTAATTTACTTGTACATATTTGAATCAAACATAAAGGGCTGCATCCATACAAACTTAATGCTTATCGCTGTGTTTCAGCTGACAGAAAATATTCATGGGGATATTATGAACTTGTACACACAATAATACTCATTTTTAGTCAATGAAATGAATATTTCATTAAAATTTCTAATGACACTCATGTCAGCTTCAATTCTATAAAATAATTAATATGCGTCTCTCGGAATTGAAACTCAAAAAGACACTTGGATAATTTCATATAATAAAATAGAAGCTTGAAATTTGAATTCAGGAAATATCTATGAGGTTGTTAACTGCACAAGAGAAGTGAGGAAGTAAAGAAGACACGAAATTTGTTGGGTTTTTAACAAAAGAGAAGAACTCTAGTTAGATTTAGGCTCAACTGTTGATCATTAATATACAGATGAAAGACTGATTGGATTTTTGTATTGAATGACAAATATGACACCATCGCTTTTTTTTTTTTTTTTTTTTTAATTGATGTTATCTATTTACCTAGGTTATGATTCCAAGAATGGACCAAACAAGTCAACATTCATTTTCTTTTATAGACAATCAATATTTCTTGTAAATCCTCCATTTCTCCTACAACCAGGCATGTGTATCAACTCTATTCATTTTTCAATCCCATGCTCAAGCATCCCAATTGCTTCATATTTTGTGCTCTCTCTGTATGTGTGATATAATGGTACACATGTTAAAACGGATGTCTAGATGGTACCACATAGCTGCTATATTAGTCTAGAATTTTATCTGATTGGTTGTAGTAAACTTCTAATTTCTGCATTTGTTTGATTCATATTTATAGGTTGTGCTGCACGTTTCATGTATTGTCGTTGTCTAATACATGCTTATTTCTCAGATTGAAGAGAAGGAAGAATCTGTCTGGGCTTCAGGTTTAAGTTGTTTACTCTATTTTGTTTGTGATAGAGGGAACATTCGAAGAAGCAGATTACAAGGTCTTGATATTAGAGTGAGTATTTTTACGCATTGTTTTGATATCATCTGTGAGCAGATAAGGTTTATATGCAATTCAATTTTGGAATCATTGTACTACAGACTATATTAAGTGGGAGTATTCTGCGTTATGAGAAGGGGAAAGCTCTCTTAGTTACATCTCACGTAGAACTTGTTTAAATTCTGGATGGGATGTTTTGATATGAAAGGAAAGTGTTTGGAGAACAGAATGACTAGCAAAAGGGAATGGCTTCCTCCCACCTTAATAATATCTTAGGTTATTGACAAATTGGTGAATGCTGAAATTCCTTGTGAGAAGGCAAAAAGGGAAGGGGGAACTTTCAGTTACTTGAAATCTTTACATTCTCTTGTTAAATAAAATTACCATTAAACTAAAGATCTTTCAGTATTATCAAATTCTGAGTTGATCAATGGCGATATCATAGAAATTGAATTGTTAGGATGAGAAAGTTCCTCACGTTAGTTTTCTAAACCTCGTAAAAGATCAGATATTTCTTGAAAATACTCTATATTGATTGAATGAAAGGGATTCATACAGTTAGTTGCAGATGAGTTGGCAAAAGCAACCTGAATGGTTTTCCTGGCTTCTGGTTAGAAAACCTTAAAATTTAATAAAGTGTTGGTTATCTGATGATGAAATCTGCAAGGATTATTCCTTTCAAAGCCTTCAAATTACCAAACGCAAAGAGAGGATGTCATTTGTCTGTAATCTTCTACTACTGGGTGTCTGTTAATTGAAAGAAAAGGATGGTCACTGACTTACCGGTAGTTTATTTTTTAACGATTATTATGGACTTACAGACAATTGATAATTTTGTGTTTTAACCAATGGAACCATAACCTGAAAGAATAAAATGTTAAGAGTGGTTTACCATTCATCTATGGTACTGGAAGCTTGGCACATGATGGCTTCATTGGTGGTTAAATAGGCAGATTTTCAGCATCTCACCCAAACATGAAATGAGATGGAATTCCTCTTCGTTAGCCAACCAAAGCATCTTTAACGAATGTTTTTTCCTCAATATTCAATAAATTTTGATGTGCATGGCCAATAAATTTTATTTTGTGTTTTCTACTCCTACCTTTTACTATTCCAATATTGACTACATCTACTCTTACTTTACTCACAGGTTATTAAGGTACTCATACGGGTTAGTAGAAGAAACTCTTGGGCAGAAATCGTTCATTGCAAGCTTATTTGCATGATGACAAACATGTTTTATCAAGTTCCTGAAGGGCCTGATAAAGTTGTTTCAGCTACTCCAATCTTTCTTGTTCAGCAGTTTGATCTGATTGGAGGGAATGAGTTTATATTTGAAGAGGTAATATGCGGAGCATCTTTTTAAGAGAGTTCATATGCTGCATTATGAATGAACTAAAATATGTTGAAGGGAATTTTGCGTATTCAAATATTTACTAGAAATTATTGGATATATTTTTCTACCATAGTTGGAAAGATCTTACATCTACGTATATTTGGGCTGCATGTGGAGATTTGGCTGCTGGTTAATACTATATTTCACAAAATTTCAAATTCTTGTGGATGAAATCATAGATGATAAAGAAAATCCGTGCCCTCTCATTCATATATTGAGTATGCTCACCCCGAAAAAAATAAAAGAATTCTTCTTTGATATTCACTTGGACAAGAAGAAAGTAATTCACAAAGACCAAGTTTTTGGAAGTCTTCTATGGAATAGGGTCAGATCCAACTGAGTTATGTTATATTTCATATTGTACTGCCACCGTGAGTTGAAATTTCAAGCTCTTTTTCTAGTTACAATTGTTTGAAGACAGTTGAAGCAAATAAATTCATTCCTTCTCGGACAACTTAATATTTAAGATCAGCTACTTAGGATTCGTACCAGAGCACGTATCCTTTGAAGCTTGGTCCTTGCTTTGGATGGGCTAACCTGTGATTGGCAGGTTCTGATTCCTGAAGAAGACTGACTTTTTAGGTAAGGAATGGAAATTCTTAGCACTTCTTCTTGGCCTGAAAAGGCAGTGGCACCAACCATCTTAAATCCAAAGCTATGACCTCCCCGAACCCAATTATTTATTAAGGTCTTTTACTGGTTTCATTAAGTCACCGGCTAGAGAATGCAGGTTACCATGGATGTTAATTCCAAAAAGAAAAGTGAATTGTAACAACTCTATTCCTCGTCATTGGCAAATTGATGTTCCAATATCTTGTCACCCCCCCCCCCCTTTTTTTATTAGACTTTCGCATTGAACTTATAAGTTAATTGGGCACCCTGTCCTTACAAGCCAGTTTTAAGGGTTCTGTCCAATGTGATTGTAATAATGGTACGAATGTATGAGAGCACAACAAATTCTCCAGAAGCTAGTATGGGAGTATGTTCTCTCCTCCAGAAGTGACTCAGGAAAAGTTGATCTCAAGTCTCGCCACCACTCATTTATGGAAGCCATTTAAATCATGGGAGGTGTTGAAGATAAATTTTAATTAAATAAATAAATTTTTCTCGTCTCTAAATGCTTAATATTTCAGATGATGTGGTTGAATGACATAGAACACAAGTAGAAGTATGATTGCATGTATATGATCTGTTTCATCATTTAACTCCATCTTGCTACTGTTCAGTTTTCTCTTCTGATCATTTCTTTCTTTCATAATTTGAACTGTAGCAATCCATTTAAATGGATCACATGTTAGGACGATAGGTGGAAAATAACTTGTTTATTTCTCTTAATTCGACCTTCTTTTTTTGTGTGTGTTCTCTCTTGAGGCCTTTCCTCTTTTCCATGTCACTCACTCTCTCTGGCCTTTATATTTGAATATATAATCTAAAACAATGAAGAATTTCTATTATTAACGAGGTGTTCAAGTTGCATAGGGATCTTTATCTTATTTCTTCTGCTACATTACATCACAGTTCTAGTTTAGTTTTAGTTAAGTAGTTGCACATTTGCTTTGGATTCATATCTAAGTAGCTCTGAACTGAAACCTGTTAATGTTTACTGTGGGTGTGGAGGCCTTTGGATCAGTAGATAGGATGAACTGATGACTCTACATTATAGTGAATTTCTTTTAACAGATCAGTTATATAGAAGAGATATAAATATCTTCTTATACGTACAAGACCCCAAAAAGAAGACTTCCAGAAGTCCCGCTTTACTCAGTAATGCATTTATATAGACATTATAAAGAATTATTCCCTGAATTAAACATCCACAAACCACAAGCATTTAATAGATGACAAAGAATGTTTTAGATGTGTATATTTCTTTTTATTTACACCATAATATTTCAGTCTAATAGCCTTTGCATGATGCAATGCAATTGCACTTGATGCTGTCAATATATATTATCATACCAATGTTATTATAAAAACTGTTACTTCTGAAAGCATTGAGCTGAGTTGCTATGGTGGTTCAGTTATTACTCTGTGTTTTTGAAGTCGGTAGGATCCATTTATATTTTTATTTTCAATGAAATTTTTGTTGATGGAAATGGAAGTTTCCTGTGTTTGAAATCGCTTTTCTGCAGAGTAGTTACAGTGACCTTCAAAACATGATAATGTTCTTGGTGAATGATAACATTGTCCTGTTTGATCTAAATGATCATATAAGCATTAATGTGTGTTTTCAGACTCTTCTATGGTCCTAAATCAAAAGACTGGTACTAACCTCAAGTTGTGGGGTTGGTAATATCTGCTCTCAATCATTTGAATTTTTCTATGCAAACAATGGGATTTCTGCTGGATCTATCCCATTTTGGGGGTTAACCAAAGAGGTTCATTACCTGAGTTTTAAACTGAAATTTGGATTCAATTTGGATTTATAATCCGTTTTATTAATTTCATTTGATAGCAATTCAATGACAGCACACCTGTATATATTTCTGAATTTACAGTTATGATTTTATAAATGCAGTTGGTGCTTTCAAACTCAAGAGAAGAACGGAGAAATCTGTATCTGGTTCTTTTTGATTATTTATTGCATAAGATAAATGAGACATGTATAGCTTCTGGAGTGTCCGAGTACAGTGATGATGAGGTTCAACCTATTGCTACCTTACTCATGCTTGCAGATGCACCTGAAGCTCTGCATTTATCTGTCAAGTTAGGAGTTGAAGGCATGGCGGAGCTATTGAAAAGATCAATCTCTACAGCATTGTCCAGATATCCTAATAATGATCGGCTTATTACAGTAATGTTCCACGCCTTTAACATTTTCATCTGCATGAACTAGAGCTTAATATTTCTTTTTAGCTAGTGAGAAAAGACTAGGGAATATATCCAAAATTGTTAATTGATTTCATATATCCACACAGTACTCAACAGTTGTTGTATGCATTTTTGTTCTAGTCTCAATGTCTTCATGATATTTGGTGTTTTTTCAGACAGGGACTGTAATGCCTGTGGCCTGTTCACTCAGAATTTCCCCATGCATTTACTATGGGAAATAGGGGTAGAAGGCTGTAAAAGAAAAATATAGAATAACTTCAATTTAAAATCTTTACCTTGAAATGGCGAGTAGAATCGGTTGGTTTGAGGACATGGAACTTGAATGAAAGTAATCTTGCACTTACTCAACATATTTGCTTGCTTGTGATCTACATGTCTTCTTCCCTCTAACTGTGGCCACATATAGCCTTATAAATAGCCATGACATTTAATGTTGATGTGTAAAGTCTGAATATAACCTTGTTCTGCATTTCAAGTTGATTGTATTTACCTTTGCTGTGTCATCTTTATAAGTGGACTTCAGGCAATTGCATGTCTATGCATCTAAACTTGTGGAAGTCTTACTTTGTTCCTATCTATCTTCTGATTCTTTAAACCTAAGGAATGGCATTTATCGTTAAGTTGTACGCCATTATTTTCTTTCTAATAATTTGTTTCGAAGGTGGATTTGTTTGGTTTGACTTTTTCTGGCCCTTCTCCTCATGGGAACATGCATGTACCTGTTTGTGTGTATATGCATCCAAAAGACGAATTACATGACCTTTAATTGTATTCGAATTCTGTTTTCTCTTGCAGCTTTTGCAGAGTATGGTAGAGAAGTTTGATATGCTCATGAGATCATTTACTTGTCTAGACACAGAATTTACCCAAATGGTTCAAATGACCAAATCATTCAAGTCTTTAGAAAGCATTGATGAAGTTCACATAAACAGTGTTGGCATTAAAGCAAAGCTCTCTTGGGCTACTTTACATTCTCTTCTTCATTCTGAACGATCTGCTTATCGGCACAATGGTTATCTCTGGTTAGTAGATTTGCTCATTGCAGAAATAAGTGATGAAGGGGACGAGAGCCTGTGGTTGAGCATACAAACCTTGGAGCAAAAAATAAAAATTGCTGGTGTTAATGATTATTCAGCTTCTTTAGGTGTTCCTTTACCCATTTGGCTTATGTGTGGGCTTCTAAAGTCAAGAAACAATCTTGTCAGATGGGGTTTTCTACTTGTTCTAGAGAGGCTGCTCATGCGATGCAAATTTCTGTTAGATGAGAGTGAAGTTCAACATGTTATCAGAAGTGAAGCTTCAGGCCACATGCACGCCAAGAATCGTCTTGAAAAAGCAAATGCTGTGATAAACATTATGAGTAATGCCTTATCCTTGATGGCCCAAAGAAACGAGACTGATCGTATGAATATTTTGAAGGTAATGTTACCTGAATCATCTCAAACCTGTTGTGACAGTCTGTAACTGTTTCAAAGTTACCGTTCTTTTCACAGCTAGAACTTCCATTTGGATGCTATCTATTTTGGCCTAATGATGCATTTACATTATTGGATTGGCATAACACTGAAGCAGATAAAGGTCGCATTTATGATTTATCAGTATCTGCTGTCCATATTCTCTGCATTGACCATTTTGATATTCAAAACATATTATAAATACCTCTTTTCCTGAAAAGTATAATAATAAAATTTTTTTAGTTGTATATTGATGATTGCCCAACTATTTTTGTAGTGGTGGCAGCCTTTTCCCCCTGTTGTCATGTTAAATGGCTGAACAGTCTTTGGTTGGGTGGATGGTTGCACCGAACTGTTAAAATACCCTTCTTAGTGGCACATCTTTCCAATTGCTAACTTGAGCTTTGATTTTGTGCATTAGTTGTTGTAGTCTGAATTTTCCATGTTCTCATCAAAACTTTGGAAAGCAAAATGACAATCAGTAAAACTCGGGGTCCCCTTCCCAGTACTCTTCAGAGGAACAAAAAGGTGAAAAAAGGGCAGTTGCGAGCCAATATATGGTTTTCATTTATTTGCTTGATTCTCTTATATGCTGACATTTGATTTTATGTTTGCGCACGCTGCATGCATGTCTGAATCATATTTTTCTCCTTTATAAACTTACATAATTATCTTTCTTGATGTCTTTGAGCAGATGTGTGATATTCTATTTTCACAATTGTGCTTGAAAGTAGTCCCTACAACCGCGATGCTGTTCGGAGAGACACAGATTCATGATTCTAGTAGCTCAGAACGGAATAAAGCAGGGGCGGAATCTCTCTCTCAAAAAGAGAATCTTGGCCGGGAAGAATCCATGGGGGATTCTGACAGCAAGATTGGCAAAAGTTTTAATCCTAAAATCTGTGGTACTGCATCGATGGCAGCACTGCTGCTTAATGGACAAGCAATTGTACCAATGCAATTAGTTGCACGCATTCCTGCTGCTTTATTTTACTGGCCTCTCATCCAACTTGCTGGAGCTGCAACAGACAATATTGCATTGGGTGTCTCTGTTGGTAGCAAAGGAAGAGGGAATATACCAGGTGCCACGTCAGATATACGGGCTACCCTTCTCTTACTTCTAATTGGTAAATGTACAGCAGACCCTGCTGCTTTTTCAGATGTTGGCGGTGAACAGTTCTTCAGGTAACTTTGTAGTTATAACTTTACTCTTGTATGTGGAAGTCACATTCCTTTTTATATATGTTTATGAAGGAGTTTTACATCAATGGATATTCGGCAGGGAGTTGTTGGATGATACAGACGCAAGAGTGGCATACTACTCTTCTACCTTTCTTTTGAAGGCAAGTGTTTGTCGTCTTTTGCTTACCTTGAGGTCTGAAATGTTCAAGCTATTGCATTGAATTGATTTGAAATTTAAATTTGGCAGAGAATGATGACAGAGGAACCAGAAAATTACCAACGGATGCTTCATAGTCTTGTTTCAAGAGCTCAGCAGGTGCATTCTTATTTGATATTTCATCTGAAGAATACGTGGCATTTCTTGAAAACTATTGTTACTTAGGAACATAGTTTAAAGAGGCGTGATTGGAGCCCGCCTCAGTCTGAGGCTTGAATATTTAAGGGGGAGAATGAGGTTTATGCCTTTAGTGGTTGAGGAGGTGCAAGCCTCAAAAGTGAGGCGTGCGACACTCCTTAAATATCTTGGGAACTAATTTTTTTTAAAGTTCTCGTCTTACATTGGTTGACTTCATTCGAAATCCAATATATATTAAAATGGCATTGGGAATCTACCAAAATTTTAATAAAATCTTACCAAAGTTCATTGAATATCTGCTACAAATTATCTTTTGGAATCCATTATATTTCAAAACCTAATTAATTTCTTTTATTATATATTACGCGTCATAAATAAAAATACGTTACAAGTTCAAACACACAGAACAAGTAAAACAACACTACAACCCTAGAATTGCATCATTGTGATGACTGCTCATTCGGCGGAGGAGACATCACTCCGGCGGAGACTTGATTGCATTGGTACTTTAAATTGTTCTATTAGAATTTGAATAGTATATGTTTATTTTTGTAATTTTGTACTTTTTTTGCTAATTTTTTGTGCACAAGTTTTGTGCCTCAAGGCTTACGTCTCACTTCACGAAGGAACAATGCCTCTGTAAGCACTGCCTAGGAAGTGCCAACACTGACATGGACACACCTACATACAACTTTTCAAAAAGCATAGACAATGCGTCCCCCACATGACAACTAAAATAATATTTTTATTTTATTTTCATATTGTGAAGTAAATTTATATTTGTGAATTCTGGTGTGTCGACCATATATCTTTTAGCCTGTTAATGTATCAGTGACATGTCCATCTCTACAAAGTAAAAATATAATTTGAATTCACCACCTGGCATCATTGGCATGTGTTGGCGATGTGTCAATGTCCCACACGATTTATCTACCTGCTTGTGTGTCGGTGAAATCTCTAATTCAACAAAAAAAAAAAA